AGCAATACTGTGCAATCAATAATCTCCATAACAGAAATAAGAACCAGCTGTAGCAGAGGCATTAAAGAGCACTTATTTAATGCTATATGGAGTGGAGCCGGGGAAGGTTTCACTGAGAAGGTTATGCTAGAGTTGGGTCTTGGAGGATGCATAGGAGTTTGCCTGACCAAGTGAGGTAGGAGAATTCTAGAGTAGAAGGATGAGAATGGAAAATGATACAGAAGCATAAGAAAACAAGAAGGTTCAGGGTACTATGACAGGTCCTCAAGTAGGTACTTCTGATGAAGCATGTGGTCATCAGAGGAAAGATGAGAACAGAGTGGCGATTAGAAAAACTAATGGAAGCCACACCATGAAGGACCTCAGGTGCCGTGTTAGGTAGTTTGGATTGTATTCCCTGAGCTACTGAAAAGCACTGAAGGAATTTGAGGATGATGTTGTAATCTGAAGTTATCTAATTCATGCTAAAAATAAGAATGACAAAAACCTGATTTTTTTAAGCCATTCATCCACCAAAGGACAAACCAAAACATCCCTACCATGGAATACTACTCAGCAATAAAAGTAATGAACTATTGAGACGCACAACAATTCGGATGGGTCTGAAGAGAATTATACTGAGTGAAAAAAAATCCCAAAAGATTACAAACTGTATGATTCCATTTATATAAATGCTCTTGAAACAAGAAAATTATGGAGCTAGATCAGAGTAGTGATTGCCAAAGACTAGGGAATGGAGGCGTATATGGATGTGGTTGTAAAGGGGTAGCATGAGGGAGCCTTGCGGTGATGGAATAATTTGGACTCCTCACTGTAGTGGTGGTTACACAAACTTCTACATGTGATAAAATTGCGTAGACATATAAACATACACACGTATGACTACATGTGTAACTGGTAAAATCTGAATTCTGAGGATAGTACAAATATCAGTTTACCAGTTTTGATGTTGTGCTATAGTTTAGAAGATGTTACCACTAGAGAAAACTGGATTAAGGGTACACAAATTTTCTATTTTTTTTTTTTGCAAATTCCTGTGAATCTATAATTATTTCAAAAAAATTTTTAAGTGACAAAAATGGTAAAATGTGACTAACCTAAACAACTGGAAAAAAATAACTTTTTAAAGTGGGATTTAAAGATTATTGCTCAACAAATTCATTCTTGTGAAGAATTCTCTTAAGAGTTTCAAAGCCTGTTTTACGTAACATTACAGCACAATGTTTTATTGACATGGATGTATATGTTACAGGTAAGATTTTTCTAGATGAAATTGGGTCCATCAATATTCAAATTGTTCTAGGACTAAAGTAACAATTTTAGAAAGGGGATGGGTAGCTTATCAGTACAAATGTGCTCAATTCTGAATGACATAAGCTCTGAGACCATGTCAAATACTAGGAGTAGGGTCCTTCGAGAAAGTTATTTTAAAAAAGACACCCAACCAACCAAATCAGCAGCAACAACAGAACAAATCTGATTTATCTTCTATTCTCAGTGATTTCGCTTTCTTCGGATGAGAGGTATGTATGAGTCTATATATATCATGTACGGTTACAGAGTATACATCAAACTCTAAAACAGTGTGATGAACTCAGATTAAAAACACACACAAAACTGGGCACCTGGGTGGCTCAGATGGTTAGGCGTCTGCCTTCGGCTCAGGTCATGATCCCAGGGTCCTGGGATCGAGTCCCGCATCGGGCTCCCTGCTCCTCCCTCTGCCTCTCTCTCTCTCTCTCTCTGTCTCTCATGAATAAATAAATAAAATCTTTAGAAAAAAAAAAAACACACACAAAACTAAAGGAACTCTCATGCATTAACAAAGCACAAGTGTAAAAACTATAAGAAATGAAATAGTCTCATGTTATTTACATACAGGATAGTCCCCAGGATAAACGTTAGGTGGAATCCTGTTCTCTCAGACTGAAAGTAGCATTTGAAGAGATTTCTCTAGTGGACTTTTTTTCATCCTTAGCCTTGAAACAATAGCTAACTTTATGCAAGATTTTTGCACAATGGCAATGTGAAGGTAACAGTGGCTTTGAGTATTTTATTCTTGCAAAATTCAGATACTTCACACAAGTGTATATTAATTCTTCCTAAAATCCCAAGTTCATGAGCTCCTAATTAACAGATGGTAATCATGGGTTATGATAAGAGCTGGGCTTTAAAAATTATAAGGCATTAAACGAGAAGAAGGCATTCTACTCATTTATCAGGGTTATAGTAAATAGGTCCTCAATGGCCAGGTAGCACCTTACCCAGCTGGGTTGGAACCTGAAAGAAGTCCCTGGGTTGGCAAATAGGTGGCCGATCTGGGCACAATTCCTTATGCCCCAAGATGCAACCATAATTCTGGAACCGAAGCAGAGATGGTAGCCTCAGAATGGAGAAGCTGAGGTAGCCCAGGCATGACCATCACCCTCCCCAAATATAGCCTTCCTAAGAATGTCTCCTAATAGAGCATTATTATTTATTTTCCTATTTGTGGTCTGCTTCCCCAACCTGAATGTAAGCCCCAAACCTCGTCTGCTTTCTGCACCTTTGGGAAACCAGTTCTATTAGGGTTCCTCGTACAGAACAGATGCTCAATAAATATTTGTTGACTAAAATTCCTCTTCACTCTATACACTGCTTTTTGACAAAAAAGAAAAGTGAATAGCAGACATTTTCAAATTCTGATGAAAGCTACGAGCCCTCCCCTTAAGAAAAAGATGTACGAAAAAACCTGTTTTTTTTAAATCTCCTAGAGAGTTCATGGATCCCAGATTAAGCTATGCCTATAGAAACCATTTTCAAGGATTAGAAAGGTATTGTAAACACAATTAGCCACTTTTTTATTTTTGCTATTTGTTATAATAACACATGATATTTTAGTGACATTAAGGTCAAAGAAAAGGATAATTCAGCTAATAAAAATACTTCTATCATATTTTATAAACTGTAGAGCTAGTCCCTCTCTCACTCCCACCCTCTCTCTCTCCAACCCTAAGAAAGTCTTAGTATACATTTGGCGTAATCTCAATCTCTTTCCTAAAGGCACTCTGAGTGGAATTTGAAGAAGAGAGGGATTAAGTCACACTCGCACATGCACAAAACCACCTGCCTGGCATAGGTAAAATGGTTCCGAATACAAGGGGATAGAGAATCTTGTCCTATCCATAAACAACAAATGACTCAAAGAAAACTGAAAAACCACAGATGGCTAACTTGTCAGAAAAGAGCTGTCCTTAGTTGCCAGTAATGAAAGATGCCCAAGTGAATCTTACTTTCACATTGAGCTTTTGTAAAGACAGTTATTCTCCAATTGGAGCTGAGCTGTAAATATTACTAGAAAAACCTTAATGGAAATCTCCTGCCTTCGAAAAATCCTCACAAAGCCAAACTCTTCCAACACAATGACGCATAAGCAACTATGAAACTCTGCCACAAGAAATGAAGGGCGTTACTTTTTATTTCTTCTGGTTTACGAAAAGCTCAAGGTGCTGCTAATACATGGGCAGCCACACTTCAAGCACCTCTGTGACCTGCCTTATCTCTGAGTGGCCCATTCCTAGGGGCCCTGTGATGAAGGCAGCAGCTTGTCTCCCTCGCAGCACCCAACTGCACACAGAGCAGTGCCATGTCCGTGGGGCAGGGGTGGGTGTGCACCACACAGCAGCGATATGAAAGGCCAATGCACTGGACACTGCAGCCTCAGTTAGCAAACTGTCCCTGTGCGGCCCCACTCGCCACCGTGGAAATACTGGGAATAGCAGAGTTGCCTGGAGTCGGGCTGCTCACATAGTACTGCAGTTGGGGCAAAAAGCTTTAGGTGCACCACCCCCCCCGCCCACACACGGCTTGCTTTCTTAATGCACAGAAATCTATCAAAACAACAGCAACGAGAAGCTGTCCTATAACTCTACAAAGAAACTTTTGCAAGGGTAACTTTCATAGAAATTGGTTTAAATGCATCTTTCAGAAACCCCACATGGGAAGTCTTAGGGGTGCATTATTTTAATTGCATCAAGTTCCTTCCATTCTAAAACGTGGTTCCTAACAAAGATGAGGAATAGTTAAATGTAAATAATTGACAAAAATCCTATCTGCACACCAGAATAACCAAAGCCTTTGGAAGATGCACCATTAGCTTCTCTCCTCTAGATTTGTAAAGATTTTGAGATGAAAGCACAGTCAGTTTAAAGAAATAAAGCCAGGAAGGCTCAGTGCAAAGCAGATAGAATGAGAAGGCAGGAGTCACATAATTGAATAATGAAATTTTCTACTTATCAGATTTAAGTCATTCTTTATTAAGGAGAACATCAACTATTACCAGGAAGGTTGCCAACTATGGAAAACAACCTAGAGGAAGAGCAGCTTAAAAATGTATGAGGAAACTCATACTAAAACAATTAACTTTTTCTCCGTATTTCACAAGAAGTTCTCCATTTTATTTCAAGCTGTAATTTAGATTCAAAGACGTCAGTGTTCAATCTAATTTACCTTTATGGGTGTTTCTTCCTGCAACAAAACTTCCTTAAGAGCTTGCATAGAATTTGTTGCCTTGGTCTTTCGAAAGATAAATCAGAATGCAGTACTAGATGGGAAACTAATTTGAATAGTATAATCACAGAAACTACAGTCTGTGCCGTAAAATAGGACCAACACATTTGCGGTTGAAAGGCTACCCTGATCTCAATACCAACTTCTAGCAGTTGTGTTACTCTGCACAGACTGGAATTCATACAGCCCTTAAGGTGTTCCCAGCACTTCAGAATATACAAAATGGGCTGCATTTAAAAAAAAAAAAACCAAAAAAAAAACATACTACACACACAGCACAACCACTTTGGGTTTCCCCTCTCCTAAGGAACTATTTTAGAGACACCAGAGAATTCTAAATTAGGCAACCCACCCAACCCATGGGTAAGTCACTTTCCAAGACCCATGAACTGTCCCCACTGCACCTGTATAGCACACAGAAAGCCCGGGCAGAGAGAATCTGACATCCATACCTATATTTCATGCCAGTCTGCTTTGCGGTGGACTCTTTGAGAGAAATGTGATGCTGAGGGGTGAAGGTCCCCAGGCTGCGCGCGATGATAGCGACCGTGCGGAATTTGGCCCGGGCTGCGTTCACCACATTGGGGGCGGTGGAGCTCTGCTTGCTCAGAAGTCGGTCCTCACCATTCCGGCTCTTCAAATTGTGCTCTGTGCAGGCTATGGAGACTTGCATTGCTTCCCCGGGCAGCGCACGGTCCCTCTCAGAACCCCAGAACACAGGCAGTCACGAGAGGTTGAGCAGTCGGGGGGGTTTCTGCTCGTCTCTTAACCCCTCCTTGCTCTCCCTTCCCGGGGATGCCGTCAGAGGAGTCCTCGCGGCTGACTTCAGCGCCGGGCGAGTGGCAGGTGTGGCTGCGGTGCAGACCAGAGTCCCGGGCACCGAGAGAAGTAAACAGCCAGCCCCGAAGTTGTCACAGCAGCTGGAGTGAGGATCAGGCTCGCAAATCTTCCCGGGCAGTCACCTTGGCTCATTAAACAGCCAAATCCATGCAGTCGGGAGGCTTTTGCAGACGCCTAAAGCTGAGCGTCGCACTGCCTGCACGCAGCCCTGCCCGCGCCGGTCCACCGTGTCTGAATGCGGGCTCGCCTCTGGGCGATGGCTCAAATGCACGCAGGCATACCGCAAGATGCGCCGCCAGCACCCTCTGGACCACAGGCAGGATGCTCAATTGGCGCGGGGAGCCTCCAAGAAGCAGCTAATCGCGAGCTGATCCCCGGGGACCAGCGGTCTCCATCCACTCGGGCTGTCAGCTCCCTCCCCGCCCCACTCCGGGAGGTCTCCAGGGCTCGTCAAGACCCCTCCCCACTCATTTTCAGGTGAAAGCCTGGGTCGCTCAGCCCGCGCTGACGCGGGTTTGCAGCTGCACCGAGGAGCAGGCTGGTAGAGCTCCCAGCCTTTGTGTGCGAATGGTAGGCAAGGATCACTTTCAGCAGACTCCCTGCTGTAACAGAGGCTGGAGGGCAGCTCATAAAGGGGGGCTCGGCCCAGACTCACACCAAATCTTGGTGTAGCACACAGTTGGGACTGGGGGAGGGCAGAGTGGGGGTGCTCCTGCCACAGAACATGCCAGTGAGATAACACGTGAATACTCTGCGACTGGCTTCCTAAGACACTACTTGAAATCCCTGTTATTAGCCTTGTCAGAGTTCATTTCCCCTGTACACGTTATTCCTTAAGATGCTAAGTTTGAAGTTTCCTGAAAAACCACAGTGCAGACTTTTTGGGAGTCACATCAGCTAACTTTCTGTAAAATCTACTCTGGATCTCAGAGGAGGACCAAGGAGAGGGGAAGAGACAGCAATTCAGCACCACCCAGAAGGGGGCTACACTAGGTGAGCAGCAGGTGCCCATCACCACCCAGAAGGTCCAGGCCGGGTGTCTGGAACCATGTACACTGCCTGCCAGTCATCTGTGGCCAGCCGGTGATGACAAATACTATGTCCTGCTCAGGGGTGGGCAGCAAAACACCTCTCTTGACTTTGAATCCATGTGAGGCAGAAACATCGTGTGGTTCAGTGTCAGGTGCAAAGCAACTGCTCAATAAATGTGATTGAACAAAACTAAGCACCGACTGGTTGATAACATTTGATCTCTCCATTTGAAATGCATGGAAGCCAGACTCCTTTTGTAGATGTACTTACAATAAAATTGTGGCTTCTGCAAAATCAGTTTTCCAAGCAAGCTTGTGCAGCCACTCTGGAAAACAGTATGGAGGTTCCTCAAAAAGTTGAAAATAGAGCTACCCTATGACCCAACAATTGTACTGGGTATTTACCCCAAAGATACAAATGTAGTGATCTGAAGGGGCACCTGCACCCCAATGTTTATAGCAGCAATGTCCACAATAGCCAAACTATGGAAAGAGCCCAGATGTCCATCAACAGATGAACGGATAAAGAAGATGT